AGAGCCACCATTACGATTAGCTGCAGTTAATTTTGGCTTCAGGTTCTGAGTTTAACCCAAGCAGCCATGGTATATTTGCCATTGTATGACTGAGCGGAGTCACTAGGAATGCAAGTTTTGTGTGTGTGTGTGTGTGTGTGTGTGTGTGTGTTTTAAAGAAGGAAAAAGTAAAAGCAAAGACCACACCAAATAAGGCTGGTTCTTCCTGTTTATTTGCTAGGGACTGGAACCCTTGGAGAAGAAGTGAACCTCTTCCCACTATCCAGTCTCAGAGAGGAGGACAATCCAACTTTGAGGGGAAGGAAAAAAAGTCTAAAGAATTAGAATAAGAATGCAAAACACTTTGAAAGAGTTAATCCTTACTGGGAAACTAGTCAGAACCCAGCAGACTTAGTTATGTACCACAATGGGAAAAGGAAATCCGGCCTTCCAATGTAAAGCATGCTGGGAAAGAAATGGAAAGAATTTGAACTCCTTTATGATGCCGGCTTTCACTCCATTTGGTACATGGCTAATACCAGGGCTGGCAAAAGGATTGTGGAAGAAAAAAAACAACAACAGAAAACCCCACAAAGCATGTAGGCAGTGGCTTGAATGAAGAGAAGCAGAAGGCATGGTAGATCTACCTTGCCTTCTACTAGAAGGAAAGAGCCTATATATGGAGACTTATATATCTCAAAGCTCTGTGGATTGCTTATCCCAGCTATATCTGCTGGAGAGGTATAAGAACTAGAGTATGTGTTTAAATGTTGTTTCCTTTAGCCGAATGCTCCTGGGATGGGTTAAGAGTCTTGCCTCCACTTATTTTGTCGTATGAGAGTTCATAAACCCCAGCTCCTGGAGTCATGTGATAACACGAGAATCTTAGTGTTTACCAAGTCGGTCTTTAGTCCTCATGGTTGTGCAGAAAAGCTTGTAAATGTGAAAGACGCAAGCTCAGAAGCCAGAAGACAAACAAAACTGAAGATACTTTTATGAAAGTTCATTATTTCAGTTAGTTTTATGATAGTTTGGAGCTTGAATCCTGTAGGTTTTGAAAGATTGGAGCAGGCAATGCCAGACAAAGCCCAGGCTGCCCTAGGCTTAGTCAAACCAGCTCTTTCCAACAGTACTAAAATTCAAACAAATGCCAAAGGGACCCCCCACCCCCTCCATAAATAGGGCCCAGCAGCCCTACAGAATAACTTGGAGAAAGGACTTCAGTTTGCCCACATGGAAAAATTATGAGGAAATAGGTTTACTTATTTGTTGTTTTGCTCCCTCTGCTCAGTAAAGATTACAGTACCAATTATTCTGAGGGATCCCAATTTCCAGGGTATGACAAGTTGTTTTCCTCAAGCAACTAGCTTTCAAAGTTTCTATGCTTTTTTCCCTCCTATTTAGCAGTACAAGCAGGTGAGTGTGATTGTGGCTCTCAGGTAGAGACATTTTGCCTTAAAATGGATGCTATTTGGTAGACAAGGTCATGTCAGATGCAGCTGTACAATACCTGCCCAAGTGACACATGCTGTAATAACAAACTTACCCAAGAAGAGATAAATTACAAAAGAATCAAAAGCTTGTCTGAGCCTCATGGTCCATTACAAAAAACACATACACCAGTTTCTGTAAGTAGTTGTACCAAGGGAAGGATGAGACTAACATCACATCTGGCCACTTTTGATTTCTTCACCTGAATGAGCAGGCAGTTGTGTACAGCTAGGGCAATAGAGGGAAGCCTCTAGTCTGTCTCAAACTCATGAACTGTCTTTTTGTGATCTCTTCACCTAAGATGAAATCCACATGAAATTCAAGTAATTCAACTTTATGGTGGTAAAGAATAGCTATAGCCCCTCTTCTCCAGTTGCGTGAGGTTGTGTTGGGGCAACTACATCAACAAAATCAGCTTATACTTGCCACACGCACATTCTTTTTGCAACAGGGCTGGGGAATGTATGCAGACACACCCTAGCCCAATAGTTTGCTTACCTAAAATGCACGTGATTTGGTGCATTTCAGTGGTCTGAAAAGGTTTCCATTGCCCTACAAGCAGTTGATTTTTCTTTCTTTCAAACTCTCCAAGCTGCAAACTGAATTAAAACAAAAAACAAAACAAAACAAAACAAACTTGCCCGTAAAAATGGTTTCAGTCAAACAGGTTTCTCACAATTTGGTAGTAAATGGACCTACTTTTTTTTTTTCTTCAAATGGGATTAGTCCAGGTACCTTGCTAAGCATTTTAGTAATTTAAACTGGTTGTACTGCATCTATATAGTCGATTTACCCTTGCTATTGTTAACCTGGAACTGAGTGTGGTTTTAAGCCAGTGAACTGGATTCTCCCCCATCTCATCATTTACATCTGTTCACAGTGGATGGGAAATGCCCCCCTTGCGGCTTGTTAGTGTTTGCACACATTTAAGATGACCACATACACTGCAGAACAGAAGAGGGTGAGGCTGCAGTGCAAGTAGGACCCAATAGGATGGACGTGTCTTTTAGCTACAGACAGGCAGGAGGCTGAATTCCTCCTTAAATCTGGTCCAGTGTGGAGTCAAGCCCTAGAAGAGAGGAAATTGTGCTTGACAGATGCAATCATATGCAAATGGCTGTAGAAGAGGGGAAATTATCATCTACAAACATTGGGCAGAAATTCCATCTGCCGCCTTCTCAAGAAGGGCTCTTAATAAATTCTGAGACAGCAAAGTGACACACATCTTAATCAAGACTTAATCCAAGGAATTAATTCACTGCGCGTTTCTGCATAATTCCAAGAGTAATGCTAAAAGCCATGGCAATATCAGCAGCAGATGGACTCCCCCCTTCTCCATGCAAAGGTATTAAAGAAAACACAGCCCCTGTCACATCGCTCCATGTACATACACATGGTGAAAAGCAACAGGGCTATGCCCTGCTGCTGTCAAGGAGCTTACGCAGTCTGCAGACATCAAAGGCCAGGACTGCAATGAGGTGGAAGTAAGAACCAGCCTCCCAGTGAACAAGTAGCTCCTGCCTCTTCTCCCTGCATAAGGGAACAGAAGCCTTGTGACTTGAAAAAGGGGCACTGGGGCAACTATGACTATTTTTTAAACAGAAGCCTTACAAAGAAAGAGGAGAGTAAATTCAGAACAATGTCAAGACAAATTTATCAGTACCTAGGAAAGAGAGAGGGGGCAAGGTGTTAAGAAAAAGTGAGAACCGAGGTAGCATGTAGCAAGCATAAAGATGCCTTTGGTTTCATGACTAAGATCTGTCACAAAATATTAAATAAGAATTATCAGAATTAATAAGGCATCCCCCTTCATCTTGCCATGTCTTATATCTTTCACTTTATAGATATTAAAATTGGCTTTTTAAAGATACTCATCTTACCTCTGCCAATTGTACGCAGTGGGAGAGTTTCTTTTTCCCCCAGACCTCAGCTGACTTTGGCTGGGACAGAATAAAGCCAATAATACATTTTCAGAAGTGATCTATGAGGCATCTCACAAGAGTTATAATCCTTTATTTCCACAGGCTAGTCCAAGCCAATAGCCCAATTAGAAGTCCTAATCTCTAATGCACTGAATTTTGGATGTGTAGGAGAGCTTTCAAAGCATCTACATTTCACAATTGATCTAGATTTGTAATGTGCCAAAACTCCGTATGCAAGCAGCCAAGTCTCTGAAATCCTAACCTGGATCTCAATTTATTGCTTTAGGCCAGTCACTACTACATTTTAGCAAAGCTTGGTTGCTGGCTGTAGAGTAGAAATAATCAGCACACATAAAGGATACTTAAAAATTTGCTGCATGTTACTCTTTATGAAATAAGCAGGTCTATGGAACACATCCTCCTCCATGAATGCATCTATATAAAGATCTAGCACTGAGTGACAGCATGGTCACTGATTAAAACCTGAGACCTTACTATATATCCAAGGTAATTCCCCTTTCTAGCAACACATGGCAGGGCACTTAACTCTTAGGGATAGATCCAAAACTGTCTACTTTGTACTTCAGATACCCATAATCAGAATCAAAGCCTCTTTTCCTCCAATTTGACTATTCTTTAATATGCAATATCTGTAGGACATTGATATCCTCTAGGAAAAATGTGACAGAACTGACTTCTGCAGCCTCAGGCTAAGAGGTGGAAGGGAATCTTTAAGGTTTCTATAATCACTGAACAATGCTGACTGCACTCCAGCTTGGTTGATTTAGGCAATGAGTGGCACAACATGGACCTTTGGGGTCCCTGGAGAGGCACCTGGGAGCTGAAGGCAAAACCCAAAATGTGGATTTGTTTAGAAGTGATCTGCTATTTCACTCAAGATTGTGTGGCCCCCAAGCACCCAAAGACTTTTGTTTAGTGTAGGATTCATCATGGTCATAATGAGTCTATCTTGTTGCTGAAAAAACTGCATTAATTTGCAATATTCTAGGTCAACTTGTATTTTGATAATATTTTGGTGTATGTGTTTCTTGCCTTCCTGTTTGTAACCCTGGTTTCTGTGTACATATATGCTTGTGTATCTGAGCCTATGTTTATACCACTGAAAATCTCTGGTCCTGTCTTTGTCTATCTAACATTATTTATACTCGACCAGCTTGTTAAGAAGCAAAAGGAGAAAGGGGAGGGAAAATATTGCAGGGAAAGATGGGGAGAGCTGGATGTTTGGGGAAGGTGCTAACTACACTTGGCTAGCTGCAGGGCCACTTCCTCAGATCTCCATTACACAGCCTGCTCCTGATGTTGCTATTTAAGTCTGAATGTCACCTATAAATCGGAGGCTGTATCTCTGAAGGCTGCAAATAGAAGCACTGCTAGATGATCTTTGATTTATAGGGTAGCTGAGCACAGAGTTTGGTAAGAACTGCAGCCAGCCTGTCCCCTTTCAGCCAGGAAATTCAGCCTCAGCTGGGGATCTATGCCCACAGGTTGCCTTTACTTTTCCTAGTTCCTCTGTCCCTACTCGGGGTGATGAAGAGAGGAAACAATTTTAGCTTTTCCACCCTACTCACCCTATGCCTGTTTCCACAGATTCCTCCTCCTCCTACATCACCATCCCTCATTTCTACAAAATGGATTTCAACCTGCTGACGGACTCAGAGGCTCGCAGCCCAGCTCTGTCCCTCTCCGATTCTGGGACACCCCAACATGAACACAGCTGCAAGGGGCAAGACCACAGTGGTAAGTACAGTCTCCTCTCTCTAGAGACCGTTTCCTTATTTCTAACATTACTGCACAGCATTACTACCTTTTATGTGCATACACACACAGTGGACTTTTCTACTTCACTAGAGGGTAGGCATGGGCCCTTCTCAGGTGGCAGTGCCAGGAGTCTCTGATAAGGAGGATTGCTGAGCCAGTGCACCAAATCTCTGTACAAAGTGACTATCAGCTCTGGTTATACAGACACTAGTCTGATTACACAGGTTCTGCTCAGAAGCCCTGATTTCTGAGCTGGGGCCACATTATGCTAAATGTTGTGTAAGCATGTTATAAATGCAATAGACCTGACAAGCATCTCTCGAATTTAACATTGATTTGGACTTAGAATCCGGACTGAGCTCTTTCTTATAAAGAAGTATCCCCCTTCTTCCATGTCCTCAGGGAACTCAGCAACTGACACATCAAGGGGCCACCATCCAGCCTTCATTAGTATCTACAGATGGTCCAAGGCCTCCTGGAGCTGGGTATGACTGCAACTTCCAAACAGGCAACTGGGAGGAATTAAAGCAGGTTGGAGGGACGCAGGCATCTTAGTGGGTGGATAAGGGCTGTTTGTTTTAGATGAAAAAACTCAAGTTGGGAGCCTGAAGGCTTCAGATTTTTCCTGAGCTAGCACCTATTTTTGGTTCTGGAGAAAGGCAAGCAGAAAAAGCTGCTTTCTAGGAGATGTAAAAGGAGCGGAATGAGGATAGGGGTGAGGAGGACTAGCAAAGTAGAATAAATATGACCATCTGGTCCTACAGAGTGCAGGGAGGAGCAGCTGCATTCAGCCACTTTCTGATTAGTGTGCTGCATAGCTCTCCTTGGCCTTTCCTCTAGCACCATGTTGACCTGCAGAAGGTATAATACATCCTGGCTGGGATATTGACTTCTCTCTCACTCCAGGCTTCCTCCTGATTCAGTTAATAGAGATCTGGCTCTTGACTTCGTTGAGGGCAGGATCCAGCCCTCAGAGGCACTTGTGTCCAGGAACTAGGAGAGGCAGGAAACATGGATTCCAACTTTGCTTGTGCCTGGGACTTGCTGGGGGAGTCCTCCCACCAAAGGCTACCTGGGCTGAATGGCCAGCAGAGGTAGTTTAAGCCAGAGGCAGGCCTGTGCCAGAGACCCCTCCCTGGGAGGTTCCTGGTGAGCCCAGACCCCTTGCAGATGCCCCCAGTGCCTGCAGGCACCGAGTGCCCAGCACAGCCTGTGTCGGGCTATTTGTAGTGGAGGGTGCTCCCATTACTGCTGCTTCCCCAGACCCCACCCGAGCCCTGCCACCTTCACCGTTTGCTTTTTATAGTGGAGGTGGAAGAGCCTGGTGGGACTCTGCTCAGATGCTGGAGCCCACCCGTGTCCTGGACTCGATCCGCCCCCCTACCATCTCCTTTGTTTTGTGCCTTCATTCCCGCTGGGGGCTTTGCCCGGGGTCATGCAGGAGACCCCCGCCCGGTGGGGCTCTCCCTTCTCAAGCAGGAGGCGCTGGGGATCCCCGCGCCGTCGGGCGCGTCTAGGGCTGCCCCGGCCCGGCAGGGCACCGCCCCATCCCGGCCGCGGCGGGGTCCTGCCCTGGCTGCGGGCCCGGCCCCGGGACAGTCGCGGAGGCAC